AAAGTCTAGATTCTTTGATTTTCAACGTAAGTACATCATAATTTAAGATCACTTCAAATTAGTCAAACAAGGTTGTGTCATCTGCATATTGCAAATTGCTAATGAACTTTCCTCCACTCTGGATGCTATGTTCTTTTTTATATAGTCCAGCTTCTTGAATATTTTTCTCAGCATACAGATAGAAAAAGTAAAAGGGTGAGTCAAAAAGTATTACTATTAGAGTTTCAGTTCATACATGCATGGATTTATTCCAAACAAAATGTGTTTAAATACAACCCTGTGATCAATGGCTAGATGCAGACAAGTTCACTTAGTAATAGACTTATTTTAGTCTAGTGAGTCTGCATTTAAAAAATTTCCAAACAAAATAGTAACTTCTGATGGTATATGTTGGGCTTCAACACAAGTAGAACAGCTCAGAAAGTTATGGAGGTTGTGTTTTTGTTTTATGATTTTTATTTTCAGATAGCAAAAGCATAATTTTCAGAGATTTTTTGTGAAGCACACAGAGGCTTATTATGAAAGATTTTTTTAAAAAAAAAACCTGAAAACTGCACTGGTAAAAGTTCAGGAAAGTTGTGCCAAGGAATTGTTTTACCATCCCAGTAATGCACCTGCTTATTCATAGAGGGTAAAAGAAAGCCCTACAAAAATTTCATTGACAAACCTTACCCTATTTTCCCCTACAGCCCTGATCTTACTCCTTCAGACGGATTTTTGTTCACAAAATTCAGGAAGTACTGAAAAATGAACATGATTTGAGTCCCTTGAGGATGCCAAAATGCTATTTTGAAGTGATATAAATAGAAGAACACAGACTTCTTTGGGAAAGGATTGTTAAGTGCCGACGACATGTTTCTGACTCATATTGTCCTTGTAAAAGGTTTCTGAGGAGCAGCTGGTGGGCATGAACTTCCGACTTTATGGCTGGCAGTCCAATGCTGATCCCACAGTGCCACATGAGGGTGTGTGGAAAAGATTAGAAAAAATGAAAATATCATCTTTATAAATCTACAAACCTAGATGAAGGATATTTTGAGAAACAATAGATTCACATTTCAATATTTTTGTTTTAATAAAGGATTCTATGAATATAGCATTGTGGGTTAATGCAACGGATTGCAAATTTGTTTTGAATTGCAAGGTTAGCAATTCAAGCTCATCAGCTGCTCATTGGAAACCCTATTCAGGGTCTCTATGGATCAGAACTGACTTGACAGCACTTAACAACAACAACTCTCATTTGATGAAAGGATGCAAATTATCATATACCTTACTTGATTTAAAACCATGTTGTATCCCCTTGTTCTGCTTGAATGACTGTCTCTTGGTCTAGCCACAGGTTCCAAATGAACACAGTTAAGTGTTCTGCATGTACCATTCTTCAGAATGTTAGCTATAGTTTGCTATGATCCATGTAGTCAAATGCTTTTGCATAGTCAATAAAATACAAATAAACATCTTTCTGGTATGCTTTGCTTTTGGTCAAGATTTGTCTGATATTAGCAATAACATCCCTTGTTTTCAGTCCTTTTCTGAATGTTTCTTGAATCTCTAGCAGTTCCCTGTTGGTGCAGTGTAGCACCCATTGTTTTTTGTCCTCAATTTTTCTTGCATATGATATTAATGATATTGTTTAATGGTTTCTGCATTCTTTTGGATCACCTTGAATGAGCACAGATATGAATTTCTTTCAATCAACTGGCCAGACAGCTGACTTCCAAGTTTTTTTTAGCATAGATGAGTAAGCACCTCCAGCACTATCCATTTTTTGAAACATCTTTCTTGGTATTCCATTCAGGGACTTCTTTGAAATAATTGTTCTTATTGTTGTTAGATGCTGTCAAGTGAATAGCAACATTTTGCACAATGGAAAGAAACACTTCCTGGTCCTGAAACAATCTCACAATCATTGAAATTAATTCAACAGAACAGTCAAAGGGTCCTGGCTGGGCTGTTCCCAAGAGGGCCTGTGGAGATGGGTCCCAGAACAGGACAGGCTTGGGAGAAAGACACCATTCACTAATTATTTATTTGGGTATGGAGGACTCCACTTTCCCTGAAGGGTCACCAAGGGGGAGCATACCTTTCCTTCTGAGGCTTCTGCTCCCTTTGCATCTCTCTTCTTGATGCATCAAAAGCTCCCTGCACTCCCCCACTGGATCACTTCCCACAGGGTCTTCTGCCTCCTGGAAATGAAGTGCAGAGGGCCCCATCTAATCCTCTTCGTCTTTGTCATCATCTGAATCAAACCCATAGTTGTAAAAGTGAATCGTGGCTTGCACTGGGAAACTGGCCAGCACTTTCTCCCTGGAACTCTGCAGCTATTCTTGACACTTTGAAATGGGCAAATAAAGTCTTACAGGATGCTGAAACCCAAAGGCCCCCCTCCCTTAGATCCAAAGGTCTGTTGGTCACCCCCAGACTCAAGCTGTCTCATCAGTCCATCATATCTAGATGTGAGGCTACAAGGTCTCCAAGGTGTGGAGCTCTTGGGCCCACGCTGTAGTAGTGGCCTTTTGGGGCCCTCCACCTGGCAATGGCATCAGTGTCTGGGCGCCTCTTGGGCTCCTGCCACCGCCTCCGTGTCTCTAGTGCCCACTGAGCCGCCACTCCTCCAGCTGCATCTTTCTCGCTCCAGCACCACACCGGGAGCGATAATTGTAGGGAATCTTAACAAATTCTTTCTTTCTCTGAGCCAAGAAGGAAAGATTGGAATAATTATAAACTCTAAATAGGTTAGAATATTTAAGGGTGGGTAATATTGATATCCACCTATTTAATTTTAAAGTTATAACTGAAATGCATGAGGATGTAGTACATTTAGGTATACCTTTTTAAAGTTTCATTGGTAAAATAATTACTCTTTTTTTTTCTTCATTGTTGTCTAAATCACATTTAAACAAATAGTGATAAAGATACTATGACCTGGCAGCCTTTGTGGAAAAGTAAAAATAAAAATGTTGAACTTTCAGAACAAATTTAAATGGTTCATTGACTTTGTTTCACCATGGAAAAACCACTTAACGTCCCAGTGTCAGTTTACCCATCTGTGAAATGAGAAGGATAATATTTTCTTATGGGGATGTTTTGAAAATTATTTTGCAAATGTAGTGGATGACATTGTTGCAAGCATCACTGCTCTTTTTCCACTTCTTTAAAGAAGAAGACTGTATTATTTATGTACCAGTTAATAGTCAAGATTCCTTCTGGTTTGAATTATGTATATTTATTACCAGTTGTGTGCTCTGTATTATTTAAAGCATCCTCCTAGGTTGCTAAAATTATGTTAGGTCAATACCAGGGCAATCAAGCAAAATATCTAAAATGACTCTGAGTTTTCTATTTATGAGCTGCTAATCTGATTCTTCTGGTAATTATTCCTTCTTTCGGTTTAACTCATGTTTTCTTTGATGGTTTTTTTTTTGCCTCACCTCACTTCACAAGATTGATAGTTCTCCATGTTTTCACTGCTAGAGGTCACCTCTGAGCTGAAGGCAAAACACATCCCACTCTGGCATCTGTTGACTTTCAAGTCAACTATCAAAGAATTTATTCCAGACATCTTCTAACCTCAATTTAAAAGCTCCACCCTAAAGATTACAGGGAGATATCCTGGGGAGTTGTCATAGTGACTCTAAAAGGTTGGCATTGAGGAGACAAAGCTACTGATATCAGATTCTTTATACTTGATAGACTTAATTATGTAACATGGTCATGAACCTCTGTGCTTATGTCATTTAGGTCTGGAAAGAAATTTCCCCCTTCAGGCTCTTCTGTCTCTTAAGATGCCAATCAACAGGCTTCTTGGTAATAAGATTCTTTACGCCAATAGCTCTAGCATAACCTCAAGTGGTGCTTGTAGTAATGATAGAATCATCACAAAACTAAAGAAGAAAAGAGAAATATATTCCATGGGTGTGATTAAGTCATCATAATGTTCTTGCATATGTAAATTATCCTTGACTTAATGAACTACCTTGCTCACATAATAGCATTTTAACCTGGTGCTAGCAAGCCACTTTTATCCATACTGATAATTGTCACTAGACTTGATGAAGCTTATCTGGCAAAAGAGAAATTGATGTATTATATATCTATGTGCATGAATTTTGTTTTTAACTATTAGACGTATAGTTGCTAAATGAAGTTATTATACAAATCAATTTAATAAATTAGGATGACACTTAAAGAAAAATCTTGATTAGGTACTCTTGAAAAGCAAAATTGACATTATATGTAATATTATAGATATATGAATATAAGAGAAATATTCATTCATTGAAGAAAATCAGGAAATTCTAACCAGGCCAAAAGATAAAGTTGCCTGTGTCTCCTGAGTTGGAGTAATCACTTAAGATTTTGATAACTATTAAATGAATACTATTTTGAAGAATGTGCACATTGCTTTCTCCAATTTATGTTGTATTTCTAAAAATAGGTACATCTACAAGAACCCCTATTAAAAAAGAACTCTTGGTTTAAAAAATATCCTCTTTCAGACATTGAATCTAAAGTTTTACTATTTATATTTTACAGGATATATTCAAAGTCATAAAAGCTACTAGCGAAGCATTTTGTGTTTCCTCCACTGAGTTCGAATACCTGTAACAAGTTCAATTCATCAAAAATTATTCCAGTGTCATACGTGAAAGATGACCCAGACCAGCATTATAAAATTAGTGCAAGGTCAAGGAAAATTAATGAATATCATGTTACTATTTGAATACAAATATTTATATGTGCCTAAGAGGAAAATAAGTTACCCTGGAACACATAAGGGAGAGTAGAGAAATATTGATGATATATCAATGTTATCTTCTGATTAAGGATTCTCAATTATTTTTCTAGCTTTTTCTAATTTCTCGTTTAGTTGTTGTTTGATTGGTTTAATATTCATTTTTCTGAAAAACTAAGTCCAAAATAGATTGGAAAGGTCTTGGGAAGGTAATCATTTTATAACTTGCATTTAATCAACTTTTTCCTTAATCCCCTTTTAGGCAGCCAAGGGCAGTTTCCACTAACGCAGAATGTAACAGTTGTTGAAGGAGGAACTGCAATCTTGACCTGCAGGGTTGATCAAAATGATAACACCTCCCTCCAGTGGTCAAATCCAGCTCAACAGACTCTGTACTTTGATGACAAGAAAGGTGACTATATTCTCTCTCAAATGTTTTAATCATATTCAGAAATATTCTAATTACAATGAATTTATTTTTCTGAGATGATTCAAATTATTCATTTTGATTACCAAGCTGCTTCTGCTTGTATTTAAACATGTTAAATATTAAATACTTTATTTTGCAAGTCATAAACACTAAAGATAACCTATGTCAACTTTCTAATAAAATAAAGAGTTCCAATTTTGTTTCAAAAATTTTCTTATGCCTTCTTTTAAGAATCCCTTTCTTTACAGCTCCCTTAACTTTCACTCTTACAAATGCCTTGTAGACTGAGCACTGTTTTTTGGGTTGTTTTTATTACTCTTAGTAATAGGGCATATTTCTTTTATTAAATTTGGATTAACATGATTTGTGGTTATTAGCTGTTCCGTGGGAGAAAGATGAGGCTTTCTGCTCCCGTAAAGATTTACAGCCTCGGAAACCCTGTACAGGGCCGCTGAGTCGGAACCGACTCCACAGCACATAACAACAACAACAACATATGATTTGGGAAAGTTTAGTAATTTTATTTGAATGAATTGGGTCTGAAAATAGGAATTGTAGAATAGATTGCCATAACAAAGTTATTGCTAGGTGAAGTTCCACTGGGGTGTTCTGGGTTAACGCACTGGACTGCCAAGTTGGTTTGAATCACAAGTTCAGCGGTTCAAGCTTACCATCCACTCCTTGGAAACCCTATACAGGGTCACTATGAATCAGAGCTGACTTGATGGCACTAACACCACCAATAACAACAACATTGGATTGGTGATGAAAAACTTCCAAAATATATTGAAATTAAGTAAGAGCTATATGTACTTGAAATTAAGTTGGACTTCCTCAATTAACTAGGATTTATAGTAGGATGTGGCACTGTGGGTTACTGCACCAGACTGCAAAGCTATTTTAACTGCAAGGTCGGTGCTTCAAGCTCACCAGCTGCTCCTCAGAAACCCTATACAGGGTTGCTATGGGTCAGAACCAACTCAATGGTACTTAACAATGACAACATAGTTGGATGATATATAATATTTTATTAGACTTGTTTTAGAGAAGTAAATAAGTTCACATCATGTAACGCAAGCAAAAAAAATCCTAAAAATGCACACTGTATTTCTAAGTGTTTATACCTTGTGGGAAAATGTGTGCCTATGAATGAATGATCATGAATACATTAAGATGCTGCTTTAAATGAATTAAAATGATACCTGATATAATATCTATTTGTATATCAGCTATCCAGCAGGATATGCCTAGGTTTCTAATTAAAAACAATAAGATATTTTTATAATAAAATGTAATTTTTATGATAAAAATATTGGTCCAAATACTGTCTAATATATCTCCCCGTCCCACCTAAAAGATGAATTCACTATACTGGTGCACTGCTATAGAGTTCCTTCTTTATTGTATACTAGATTGTAAAGACAATCTTTAGTATCTTTTTAACGTTTTAACATATAATGAAGAGTTGATTAAATATGTATGCATTCATTTAGCAAATACTTGAGAGCTCTGTTGTAACAAGAAGGAATCTTAGTGGTGCAATGGTTCAGTGTTTCTAATCCACCAGCCACTTTCGGAAAAAGATGTGTCAGTCTGTTTCTATGAAGATTTGTTGTTGTTGTTGTTAAGTGCCATCAAGTCAATTCCAACTTATAGCAACCTTGTATAAGGGTTTCCAAGGATGGCTGGTGAGTTTGAAGCACTGACCTTGCAGCTCAAAGCTACCTTGAGGTCCAGTGCTTATCCTACATGCCACATCAGGACTCTTGGAAATCCTGTGGGGACTTCTATTCTGCCCTGCTATTGTTGTTGTTGTTAAGTGCCCTTGAGTCAGTTCCGACCCACAGCGACTTTGTATAGGGCTTCGGAGGAGCAGCAGGTGAGCTTGAACCACCAATCTTGCAGTTCAAACTGACTTTGCAATCTACAGCATTAACTCACAGCACCACACCAAGACTCCATGTATGTTGTTACTGTTGTTGTTAAGTACCTTTAAGTCGGTTCCGAACCATAGCAACCCAGTATAGAGTTTCTAAGGAGTGGCTGGTAAGCTTGAACTGCTGACCATGTGGTTCAAACCGAGCTTGCGATCCAGTGCAATACACACACACACATACACACACACATTTGTTGTTGTCATTAAGTGCCATTATTATGTATTCTTCAGGGTCTTTATGAATATGACTCAACTTGACAGTAGGGGATTTGGTTTGGTTGTAACAGGCAGTAAAGCACACATAGACAAATGAACCAAGTCATAAACTCTAGCAGAGAAGACAAATAATAAATAAGTATACAAACAAAATACATTGAAGAATACATCGGTAGAGGACAAGTGTTATGGAAAAAAATGAATTAGAAGAGGATTAGGAATCCCTTGTCTTTCTGTAGTATTTTATTATTTATAAAGAGCTTTTATTTACACTGTTTTATTCTGTTGTCTCATAGACAACTAGAGCAGATATCACTAAAGGACACATTTTCATATAAACATATGGGAGGGAGCTGATAAAATTGCATGATTGAGACGGAGGCCAGACTTAAAGCAAATATTGTGACTCTATATTTATGTCTTGATTGGGGCCTTTGGTGTATAATCACTCATGCTTAACAAGGACTTCTAGCTATTGAGCTTTGCTTTTTGTTGGTTGATTTTGTACTTTAAAACATGTTAAAAGAATTCCAAAATGCTTTTTTAAATGTTCATCTGCTAAACACTCATTATAGCAACATTGATATAATTTGGATCCTATGACCTATTTTAGTTAATGATACTAATTACTTAATGTTTCTGACCAACAACCTTTTTTTACCCTATTGTAGAATATTTTTCACATAATTTATGGAACAAAGTGTTTACAATGAGAAATGTCGAAGAAATAGCTAATGTGAATCATTAAACCTTTACACAAAAGGATATAATTCAAGTGTAAAAAGCAAATTTTATGAATTGCTTTAAAAGTTAACAAATGTAACTCAAGTCTGTGTTGCAGATTTATTCAACGGGAATGAAATTTTTATTGGAAGAAAATAACACTTGAAAACTTCTTCCTTTTATCTAGCAATACTTTTACTACTACTCTGATAGCGTAGTGGTTATGAATCGGGCTGTGAACCTTAAGGTCAGCGGTTCGAAACTACCAGCTGCTCCGCGGGAGAAAGATGAGGCTTTCTACTCCCGTAAAGATTTACACCCTCGAAAACCCTTTACAGGGTCGCTATGGGTCGGAACCGACTCGACGGCACTTAACAACAACAAACATGTTCTAGTTCTAATAATTCTAATATTTTTGTTGTTGTTAAGTGCTGTTGAGTCAGTTTCGACCCATAGTGATCCTGTAGAGGGTTTCCAAGGAGCAATTGGTGAGTTTGAACCACCAACCTTGCAGTTCAAACGGACTTTGCGGTCTAACGCATTAACCCACAGTGCTACATCAGGATAACCATTATATTTTGTCCTTAAATTTACTGGTGCTCTTCAGAAAGAGATGGTGTGTCTCTGGAAGAAAAAGTGCCAGCATTTACCATGAACTTCCTGGAAATAATTGGATTTGTATATTTGGAGACTATATTTGTAGATTTTTTTCAGGTTTTAAAATCAGGTTATTATCTTACTTAACAAGGAATGAAAGTCTACCCAAAGAATGACTCTGTTACTGCAGTGGAAATAAACAGAATGCATAAGCAAAATGTCATTATAGAGATGTGATGCTTTATCTTTGCTTTTGTTATAACTATTATGTTGTTGTTGTTGTTGTTGTTGTTGTTGTTGTTGTTATGTGCCGTGGAATCGATTCTAACTCATAGCGGCCCTGTACAGGGTTTCCAAGGCTCTAAATCTTTACGGGAGCAGAAAGCCTCATCTTTCTCCCGCGGAATAGCTGGTAGTTTCGAACTGCTGACCCTGAGGTTCGCAGCCTGATTCATAACCACTATACTACCAGAGCTCATTTTATAATAAATATATGTAAATCAATATTTAAAACACAGATATCCAAATTTAAAGTGACTTATTATTAGAGAAACATCTTATTTGCCCAATAATAAAATGTAAAAAAATGTATTTTGAAGAACAATAGATTTTATTGTTCACATTTAAGGGTGTTCATTGATACAGTCCTGGTGTGGCAGTGCAGGTTAATGCGCTGCACTGCGGGTTAATGTGCTAGACTGCAAGGTTGCTTTGAACTGCAAGGTCAATGACTCAAGCTCACCAGTCGCTCCTCAGGAACTTTGTACAGTGTCACTAAGGGTTGGAACCAACTCTCAATGGTACTAACAACAACAATTTATACAGTGGCAGCAGCAATGGATTCAAATGTAAAGATTCTGAGGCTGGCTAAGGATTGGGCAGTGTTTCCTCCTCTTCCTATGAGTACACATTAACTGATAACACTTAACAATAACAACATGAAACAATCAAATATGTATGTGCAATATTTAATTTATGTATTTGATTAGCATATGTTCTTAAATTAATATTAAAATGTATGAATTAAGATACTTTTTCCTTCCCTGTTTTTTAAAGAAACAATCTAGTTTTACGGTGCTTTTACAAACTTTATGGTGCTATCAATGAAAAATGTATCTCACATCATAGCCATGTCTTTTGATAATATTGTTGTTGTTAAGTGATGTAAAGCCAGTTCCAAATGATAGTGATTCTATATAATATAAAGTTTCCAAGGAGCAGCTGGTGAGCTTGAATCACTGAATTTGCAATTCAAATCAACTTTGCAGTCCAGTGCATTAACCTCAGTGCAATACCAGGACACCTTTATAACATTAAAACATTATTTTTATTCTTTCATTATGAAGGTGCATTATAATGACCTCTGCTATATAACTACTCATACTGTTTTTAACAAAATGTCTGGTAGTCATGTTTACAGTGACATCTATATTTGTGTGTCTAATCTTCAGGCACAATAACAAAACCTATATTTAATGTCTTTGCCTGTCTTTTAGTTACACACTAAGTT